GGGGGGCGAACTTAAGGGTTACTGGGGGAGGGTGTGCGTCTATGTGATGTGTGACGGGACCGTGCGTGTGGGCGTGGGGTGTGATGTGTGCGCAGAGTGCACACAGTGGGCCCACAGAAGACGCGCTTGTGTGGTGTGCATGTGAGCGTGGGGGTGTAGGGGTGCGTGTGGCGGGCACCGGTGTGCAGTGCGTGCAGGGGGTGCGGAGGCACGCATGCGATGAAGTCCCTCGGGCTACGTTCCTGCGCTGCCTCCCCAGTCTGGACCCAGTGGGCACCCAGAAGACAAGTGACACATGACTCACTCCATTTGTCCACGGGGCAGGAAAAAGCAATAAGACCTTTAATTTTAAAAAAGCCAGAGCTGGGCAAGTTCTTCATTAACACAGGGCCTAAAAGAAAACAGGAGGCTACCACTGTGACTATTGCCTGTGGCAGGAACCCAGAAAAACCCGGTTCTTACAGTGGAGGGGTTCCAGGCAGGACTGAGGGTCTGCCAAGGGGGATTCCTGCAGGTGCGGGCAGGGGAGGGGGGTAAGGTCATGGGGACATGGTCATACCCACAGAACCTGGCCTTCAAGTTACTCACACCGTCCCTCCCCCAGCTGTTGTGAGAGGGCCCCAAATGCCCCTTCACAGCTGGGAGTAGGGGAGACAGCGATCGCAATTAAGGTCCCAGGCTGTCAATGGCATCAGTTATTAATCTCCTCCTAGTAAATGTGAACCGGGACCTGCTTACACAGCCAATTGAGCATGCTCTAAATTAGTGTTTGCAGGTAATTGATTCAGCTGCCAGCCCCGTGCCAGCCGGCTACAAGCCGGTTACGCCACAAACATTAAATAATACGAGGTGGTAAAATGGACCGGCTGATTGGGCCTGGAGTCGGGTGCTGGGCGAGCCCGATTTGTCCAGACATTAACGTCTTATTGGTTTAACACAATTTACTACACCTCAATTTTGGAAAATGATTTTCATTTCCTTGCTGGCAGGCGCAGCACAGAGGAGAAGGCGCTGTCTTCATAAGCGACATACATCAGCTAGCTTACGCTTTTTTTTTAAACACGCCCTCAAGACTGTATAATAAATCTCTGGTAATTAAAAAAGAAGGGGGCAAGGCTGAGAATGTGGCCTCCAGCTGGCATTGTCCTTGTGCTGCCCTCCTCCACCCCAGCTTCCGGTCCTGACTTGGAGTCTTCCTGCCCTACCCCATCCCCCTCTGTGTGGCTGGCAGGTTTGGGGGATGCCCATCACGAGTGTAGGGCACCGTGAGCACACGCATTGAGACCCGCTTCCTTCTGTGCCCAGGAGTCCACTGCCCAGTGAGCACCTGGGCTGCCCTGACCCACCTGGGCAACAGTCCAGCCCATGTTAAAAGGCCATGTCCCCTGGGTAGCCAACACCTGCCTTGGAAGGCTTTGATTTCTAACAGAGGAGATTAATTATGAAGTCTCCAGTGGCATGCAGGCGGTAGAAAATTAGCTCCGATCTTTTTCTTCTCTCTTCCACCCACCCATCTACCCATCCACCCATCCATCCATCCATTCATCCACCCATACATCATCCATCCACCCACCCATCATCTCTCCATCCATCCATCCATCCATCCATCCATCCACCCATCATCCATCCATCCACCCATCATCCATCCATCCATCCAAACAAACAGCCCAGACATGTTTCCTGACACCAACGACTGTGCAGGAAGACGAGACCAGACTCCTGAGGCATCTTCGGGTTCTCATGATGCAGACTGCGACAGAGCCAGTCCAACTCACGGCTACAGATGCTCACAGGGCAGAGGAATGCCCTCTTGAAATCCAGGCAGACACCCTCGGACATGATGACGTCCGCGGACAAGTACCCTCCCACTGGCTTCCGGAGCAGCCTTCCCACCTCCTCCCTGACCCCACTGCCTCCACTCTCCCCCATTCCTACCAGTCCCTTTATGCTAAGCTCTCAGGGGCCCAGTGATCAGGCGCTCCCACTGGCTGAGGCCCACAGACGGACACTATTTTTCCTCTAGACCAGTGGTTCTCAACCTTCCCAGCGCTGACCTTTTAACACAGTTCTCCTCGCACTGTGGTGATTCCCAATCATAAGTCAATCTCATTGCTATTTCATGACTGCAATTTGGCTGTTATGAATCACAATGTAAATATCTGATATACAGGACATCTGATATGTGATCCCCCCAAGGGGCCACGCCCCACATGCTGAGAACCACTACTCTAGAATCTAGAAATCTAGATCTTCTATTATGGGTTGCAGGAGGGTGCGGCACACATTTGTACACATGAGAGAACCAGTTGGCCATCACGGAAAAATCTGTCGGTACACCTGGCCAGACAGATGCCTCCCAGAATGCCAGCTAAGCTTCATGCTGTCCATAACTCAGGGATCTGGTCACCCAGGAAAGGGGGCCTGCAAGCTCCCTGGGACTCAAGGGTCACAAGAGCTTATCTTCTGACGTCCACGGGCATGTTCAGGCGCCCTCACACACATCACACACCAGCTAAACCAATCACAGCCGGTCTCCGGCAGAAGGGATCTGAGAACCTTGTGGGCACCAACCAGCCTCTCCAGATGTCCAGATCCCCTGTACCCACACACTCGCCCCCGACACTTCAAATCAACTGGAGGGCATGTATAAGGCCTAACCCTGTGCCAACGGTTGCTATGCTGTGTGACTTGGAGAAAAAAGACAATGAAAGATCTGTGCGTGTTCACATACAGCCAGGCAGCGGCTGAATCTGTAGTGCAGGACGCCGAGGTACAGAGGTACAGAGAGCTGCTCACACTTTGATCTGGTTGGACGGGATGATGGCAGGGTGGTTACAGAAAGGGAAAAGTCTCACAGACTGAGACGTCTCCCGAAATATTTACACAGGAAATGACATGATGTCTGGGCTGCTCACATATGCCAGCAAACCAAAGCCCAAACACAAAACTAAACAACAATGGACGACGGCCTCGGGCTCATTATGCTATCGCTAAGTCCTTTGGGTTTCTGAAAAACAAACACGCTCCATTATACCAAGGCATTCCTTGACACAGACCCAAAGCCCGTGTAGCTCCGCCACGAGCTGCAGCGGAGTCAGGGTCAGGAGCTGAGGCAAGCGGGTCCCATCTAGAGCCAGACCCCGACAGCACAGGGCCCAGCTAGGCGGCAGGCAGAGACTGTGAGAGCCCACACTGAGGAAGGCCATTCTTGCTCCGGCTTCTTGGCTATTTTTGTGTGAGGCATCTGTGATGGGTCACTGGAAGTCAACTCAACTGAGAACAGGTTTCTGGGGCAGTGTCAGTGCGAGACATTCACTGCTCCCCCTTCCTCCCTGAGCTGGCCCGCCTCACATCCTGGGGGGGGACGCTGTGCTAACTGCAACCGGAGAGACTGTGCACGCCCTTCCCCAGTGACCTTGGTGAGACAGCCTCAGCTCTGACGGACAACCGTTACTTGGGCCCTCCCGGGACACCACAGCAGCCGAGGAAGCCATTCTACAGGTTCCATGCCCTTCAGGATAAGAAGAGGGGACGAGACTCTCAGCTCACCTTTCAGGGGCAGGCTCTGAAAGAGGCGTCCATCTGCAAGCCCGCAGCGGACAGACGTGCCGTGCTGGCCACTGCTGACCCCACCTGGGCCCCGGGGCTGCTCTCTGCACTGACGCAGCACGCAAGGCCACGGGTAGGGACGGCACAGTGGTCCTTTCTGTTACTACGACAAAATACCCAAGACAGGCTATTTCATAGGGAAAAGGGGTTTGTGTGGCTTATTGGAAGCTAAAAGTTCAAGATCAGGCTTACTGGTTTGGCCTCCTAAGGAGCCAGAAATTGGGTCAGAAGGTGGTGGCACACGCCTCTAATTCCAGCACTCTGGGGAGGAGAGGTGGGTGGGTCTCTGTGAGTTCAAGGCCAGCCCGGTCTATAGAGCGAGTTCCAGGACAGCCAGGGCTACACAGGGAAATCTTGTCTCCAAAAACAAACAAACAAAAATAAAAAAGAGCCAGCTATCTGGGTGCGGTCAGGTTGGCTCTTTTTATGACAATCCTTTCTCAAGAACTACTAAGCCCTCTGAGTATAGGACACCCAGTGACACAAGCCCCCCCCCACATTAGGCCCCACCTCGAAGGTCCAACCCCACCCACATCACCACACTGTGGACCCGGCTTCCAAGACAGAGGCCCTTGGAAGACACAGCAGTGAAGAGTCAGCATCCCCTGACACAGAGCAGGCCTCGATGGTGGACTTGGGGGTTACCAACACGGGAAAGGGAGTGGCAGCCACCAAGCATGCACTAGTCCACGTAGGGAAGGGAGCCTGGGATGGGTAGGGTGACGCGCCTCTCCAGTGTCACCTCCCAGAGCTTCCAGGTGGCGTGGTCACTGGTGGGAGACCCAGGACGTGGTGGGGGCAATCTGAGTCAAGAGGGTCATTGAGCATGGGCAACGGTAAGTCCACTCCAGGGTCCTGGAGCAAGGCTGGGCTGTGACGGTGGTGCTTCAGGAGTCACTTAAACCGTCCCTCGGCCCAGTCGCCAGGGCGAGCGAGTGCTGAGCGGACATAACGGTGGTGCTTGCACATAACAAACAGCAAGCTGTTTTACTGGCGGCTTTTGGAGGCACAACAGCGGCTGTTTGGTAAAGGTCCTCTCCCCCCAGGGGGTGGGACGATGGGACACTAAACCAGCCTGGAAAGTTATCAAGGCCCATTACCGTCAAACACTCTGCCAGGAGCCAGGGAGGTGGCTGCCACCAGAGGGACCGTAACCGCTGCCTGGGATCTCAGTTCTGCGCATGGTCCCCGCTCGGTCGGCACGCGGCGCGCCAGCCCCTCATCTGTTACTTGCTTGGGGAACACAGATTGCTGGGTTCTTTTTGCACTTTAACCCTTCCTTACGCAGAGAGAGGCGGAGAGAGAGACAGAGAGAGAGAGACGCGGAGAGAGAGAGACACAAAGAGACGCAGAGATACGCGGAGAGAGAGACGCAGAGAGAGACGGCTTACCTTTCCATCTCGTATTCTTTCATCCCGGGCTTCACGGCCTTCATTACCTAGAGCACGGGTATTAAGCAAAGACATTTGCACTAAGCAGGTGACCGATGCGGCCTTACAAATAATGTATAATGCTTTCCCAAAAGCTCCTCTTTAAATGGGAAAAAAAAGAGGGGTGATCCACGCACAGTGGCGCAGAAGAGAAGTGACAAATGGGACCTTTTAACAGCTCCGAGACCCTCAGAGTTTATTTAAACCATCGTGGAGCAATATAAATGTCACGCTCCAGCTTGCAGGGGGCCGGCAGCCTAAAGACAGACAAAGGATTTGACCAAGATATTTGGCAAATCCTGAATATTCAGAAAAGGTCTTATTTATTTGTTTGTTGTTTATTATTTATTGACTTTGCCTAATTTTTATAAACAGAGAAATTAGCTGGGACAAGAGAGTTCACAGGCTTTCAACTACCCTCGTCACCCCTAACGTTAAGCTGCGATGGCCCCTGAGCAGGCAGGCTTGGGCGGTTTTCAAATACTGGCTTCCTTTGCACGCGAAGATGTCTTTGGAGAGCGGGTGATGGGTAGAGCTGGTAAAGCTGCAATCCCAGCACTGGGGAGGTGGAGTGGAAGGATTGTAATTGTGGGATGGCCTGGGCTACACGGTGAGCTCAAGGCCAGCCTGGGATATATAGCCAGACCCTGTCTTCAAAGTCAAAAAGAAAAGGAGAGGGCTCAACGACTAAAAAGTACTTCTTGGTACAGCTGAGCTGTGGCGGCGCATGCCTTTAATCCCAGCACTTGGGAGGCAGAGGCAGGCGGATCTCTGTGAATCTGAGGACTCTACAATGTGAGTTCCAGGGCAGCTAGGCTTGTTACACAGAGAAATCCTGTCTCGAAAAACTAAACTAAAATAAAACTTTTAAAAAAGTGCTTGCTGCTCACTCAGGACGAGAGTTTGTGTCTCAGCACTCACACTGGGCAGCTCGCAACTGTCTGTCACTCCAGCTCCAAAGAATCCATCGCCCTCTTCTGGCCTCCAACAGCATTGCACTCACATGCACATGCACTAACACAGACACATGTGCAAATACACACAGACACAAATAAACAAACGACAATCTAAATAAAAATTAAGGGGGAAAAGGGATGGTGGTTTTGTGGCCTGAATAAGAATGTCCCCCACAGGCTCATAGATCTGAATGTTTGGTCACCAAGGAGTGGCACTATTTAGAAGGATTAGGAGGCACGGCCTTGTTGGAGGAATTGCATCGCCGGAGGTAGGCTCTGAGGTTATAGAAGCCCAAGCCAAGCCCACAGTCTCTCTCTGTCTGCTGCCTCTGGATCCAGATGTAGAACTTTCGACTTTGCTAGCCTGCCATGATGATAACGGACTAAGCCTCTGAAAGTGTAAGCCAGCTCCAATTAAAGTCTTTTATAAGAGTTACTGTGGCCATTGCAATAGAACACTAGCAGTAGGAGCTGGAATCATGGCTACAGACATAAGATGCTTTAACACGAGCTGGGCTTGGAAGTAGGGCCATTTGTTTGGGACAGTCCCTGAGGCCTGGGATCGTAACCTTCACGGAGGTGGGTGCCTTAAGATGGAGAGAGTGAGCAGAGGGTCTCCATCCCTGCCCTGCACCCTCCAGGAAAGACAGAATTCCTCCTGAGAGACTCCCTGCCTTCCATGTGGTCCTTGGTGGCCACAGCGATGCAGCTTGTGATGGTTCAGACATGAAATGTCCCCCACGGGCTGGTGCGCTATAACACTGGGTTCCCCGTGGGTTGGTGCAGCCTGGGGGAGGCTGTGGAACCTTCAGGAGGAGGAAGGGGGCGCTGATGAGTCTGAACTGAGGTCTACAGCCCGGCCCCACCTTCACTCCAGTCTCTCTGCTTCCTAGCCAGCTGAGGTGCCAGTCTCCGTATGTCCTGCCACCGTGGAGTCACCCACGCCCCCGAGTGGCCCAGCACTCCACCATGACAGACTGTGAGCCGGAACAAAGCCCCTCCTCCCTTAAGCTGCTTCCCGTCAGATGTTCCAGCACTGCAATTGGCAAGGTCATTTACTGTACTGCCCAACCAACTCACCTCACGGTGGGCCTCACTGGAGATCCGGTTGGTGTAGCGCAAAACCTCCAGCTCCATGTCTGTCTTGAACACCCGGCTGCAGTGGGGAGAGAGAGAAGTCAGTGACCTGGCAGTTGAGGTGCCTTGTTCTAAAATGAGCCTAGCTAGTGTCAGGCTGACATAAGACTAACGGGCTCTTCACCACTGAGCAGTGTCCTCAGCCATTAACCTGCTTTACACCGACACACAAATGTACATATTTACGGGTACGATAAGGCATTCCTGCATGTTTAACGATCCTATCAGTACAATTAGCAAATTATTTACAAAACCCTCAGGCATACACTTTATTTCATTTTGAGACGGAGGCTTACCAGACAGACTAGGCTGATCTTAATTCTTTACGTAGTCCAGGCTGGCTTTGAACGTGCCAGCCTCCTTACTCTGCCCCCAAAGTGCGAGGGTCACTGTGGGAACACCAGACCTTGAGCAGAGACCCACTTCCCCTTCTGCCTGGGAGTAGGCAGCTGTAAGACAATGTTTACTAAAAACATGTTTACTAAAAACAATACAATGCCTGGGGGCATTAAGTTCCTGGAAAAGGCCTGCCCACAGAAACCACCCTGACCTCGACCTTGTCCAAAGACTAACCACCTCTTCTGCCACGCCCAGATCAGTTTCTGGGGTCAGAGCAGAACCAGCCAGGGTAGAGGGGAGAGCAAAAGCTTCTCTGGTGGGAGCCTTTCTTAGGAAGTTTTCTTGAACCTTTTTGGGGCCTGCTTAAAGTTTTCTTTACATCGTTGAACAAGTCTCTGTGTTGTCAATCCCCGACACCCTCCGCACGTTCTCGGACACAGGCCGCGCAGCAGACGGGACAGGTCACAGTTAATGTGTCACCATACATAGCTATATATCATTTCTTTACATTGACGTTCAAAACTCCCTTCCGGCAGCTAGTTCTAAATATTCAGTTAGCTGACACCAATCACCTCTCTCCATCTGCACCCCTCTGCCCATCAACCACCCTCCCGATCTCTCCACACAGCCTTCCATGCTCTAGTTATATTCTCTAACTCCAAAGCATGCAAAGGCTTTTACCCTAACAAAGGGGTTTTCATTGTTGTTGTTGTTTTAAAGGTATACCACACTTTTACCCTAACAAAGGGGTTTTATTAATTTATTTTTTAAAAAAAGATAAACCAAAGGGGAATAAAATAAAATATGGAGTAACCTTTCTTCTTTGCAGTTCTGGGGATGGGACCAGGACTCCTGTGTACTAGGCGAGGGGGGGGGGAAGCTTTCCTGTGGAGCTACTTGCAAACCCTGGAGGGCTACAGCCGGTGCAAGGGGAGGGGGGGATCTCTTTGCTTTCTTAATGGAAGCCTGCCCTCAAGGACGCTGGGTGGTGATGTTAGGACAGGGAGGAGCTGCCACCGGGGGACATTCTGTAGCTCAACCCAGTTTTACGATTCTGTTCATTTTTTTTTTAATTGTTGTTACTTTTACATTTTACAGTTATCTTCTCGTCCCAAACACGGAAGATTTACCGCTCAATAAAGCACAGAGGAAAGGGTGAGGAAAGCATCATGGGATGCGATAGGGGCTTCCCGCAGCCCCGGCTTACAAGGGGGAAGAGAGAGGGGTGCAGCGTGCACAGAGCAGGTCACAGAGGGCCCTGTGTATGGCCAGGTGGCAAGAGGAGCCCAGGGAAACGCCCAAAGGACCACACACTCAAGGCAGCGCTATGAGGGGCGGCAGGCAGGGCGTGCGGCTGGGCTCCATCTACCGTCCCTGTGTTATCTGCTCTAGAGGAGCCCTCTCTCTCTACCCCTCAAAAAGAAAAATCGTTAGCCTACATTAATCATACAAAATAATGGGCTTCACTTGGATATTTCTACGCTTTCATTTTTTCATAGTAGTGCAGGCCATCCTGGAACTCATGATTCTCTGGCTGACTCAGCCTCCTTGGTGGTGGGACCAAGGGCGTGTCCCCCACGCCTACTTTCATCCAGATGTGTGCGCGATGTGCCTCATCACAGCTGACCTTCCCAATGCCCTTTCCTGCTCCCCTGCTGGACCACCTCCTCTTCCCACACGGTCTCCTTTCTATGCACACGCACCATGCACAAAGCCCCCAGCCTCCCATAACCCACCTCCCCCACCACACAGACACTCGTGTGGCGAGGTACCACCCTCTCTGAGCCTCGCTTATTTCCCTTAACATGATGATCTCCCGTTTCATCAACTTTCCTGTAAACGACACCGTTTCATCCTTTGTGGCTGAGTCACACTCCTTGGTGCATAGAACACCACATTGGCAGGCTGGTTCTACAGGGCGGCTGTTTCGAAAGATGCGGCAATAATCACAGGCGTGCAGCCGTGTCTGCAGGGTTACGACTTTGGCCCTTTTTGGTTAAACACGAGGGATGGTATATCTAGATCATACGGTAATTCTATGAGATTTTTTTTCATGAAAATCACAAAACATTTGTAGAGAAAGATTGAAAATTCACACGGTTTCAAGAATTTGAACCCCCTAATGAACTTACTGGCACGCATCCTTCTGGGTGTTTAGAATTTATCCGCTGCAAATACGGCCAGATGGCTTACTCTCTCCCTTCTCCTTCCTCTCTAATTCTACTGAGTTTTTGAAGAACCTCCATACTGATTTCCACAGTGGCTCTACAAGTTTACATTTGTACCAACCAAGACAGCCTACAGAATGGCAGAAAATTCACCGGACAGGGGATTACTACCCAGTGTTCTTGAAAAAACAAAAGTTGTCTTCCTTAGGCTTTCCACAGACGGAAGAGGCACCGTGACTGCGGCAACGCTATGAAGGGAGACATTTAATTGGGGCAGAGGTTTAGTCCATCATCATCATCGTGGGGACAAGGCGGTGTGCAGGCATCTTGCTGGAGACAGAACTGAGAGGCTTTATTATTATTATTATTATTATTATTATTATTATTATATTGTTATTGTTTTTTCGAGACAGAGTTGCTCTGTGGCTTTGGAGGCTGTCCTGGAACTCGCTATGTAGACCAGGCTGGCCTCAAACTCACAGAGATCCGCCTGCCTCTGCCTCCCGAGCGCTGGGATTACAGGCGTGCGCCACCGCCTCCTGGCAAACTGAGAGTGTTTACATCTTGATATGCAGGCACCAGGAAGTGAACTGAGTCACTGGATGTGGCTTGAGCGTACGTGAGACCTCAAAGCCCACCCTCCAAAGTGACAGACTTCCTCCCACCCCATCTACTCCAACAAGGCCACACGACCTGATCGCGCCATTCCCTGTGGGGGCCATTTTTGTTTTTCAAACCACCACAAAAATCAAGACTGAAAGGACGAATGGCCCAGTCAATAAACAGACAAATGCACGGGTCAGGCAGTTCTGAAAAGGAGGCATGCACAATGGCCAATAAGCACACAAGAAGAAAACCTCCAGCAGCCTTAGCCATCAGGGAAACCCACTGAGCTCCCACGTCACTCTGCGGAGCTCTCTAAGGAGGTGCTTGGGTGACACTTTAAGCCTGCCGTGAGAGGCGCCACGTGGTGAATATGCATCCACCTTGCTAGTAAGAATGTGCCGATCTGACTTCCCAGCCCTGGCGGTGCATTAAGAATGTCCCTCTCGCCGGGCGGTGGTGGTGCACGCCTTTAATCCCAGCACTCGGGAGGCAGAGGCAGGAGGATCTCTGTGAGTTCGAGGCCGGGCTGGACCGACAGCCTCCAAAAAAAAGAATGACCCTCTCTCAAAGCCTGGGGACTCAGGAGACAGAAAAAGCAGTTATAACGTGGGAAGAGGAAGGCTGCGGGGGGGGGGGGGTGTCCGGGTGCTACAGGAGGTGACGATGGGAAGGAAGAATCCAGGTTCCCAGTGAGGAGGCCTCCAACAGCAGGACCCAGAGACCGGGAGAGGAGACCGGAGAGCAGGCCAAGGGTTTCCTTCATGTCCCTTTTAATGGCCCATTCAGCTGCTTTGCAGAAGGCCGCTCGCCTCACCAAGCTCCCCCGTGACCATCTTCCCTCTCAAGAGGGGAAGGAAGCCAGGAGCCTCCAAGATCAGCCACGCTAGCGTGGCCAGGACCTGCGTCTCTGTGCAGGGGCACCCAGCATCCACCCGTCTGCCTGTCCTCTGCGGGACACAGACCTTGTCTGTGCCGCCTAGAACAGAGAGCCAGGGAGAGGGAGGAGAGGATGGCCGGGAAGGACGGTCTCTGAGTGCCACGGACTTGAGTCATTCCTCGGACTCCACCAGAAGTGGCCAGCCCTCGCTGGGGACCGCACGGAAGCAGCTACGTCTCCACGATGCCACTCATCCTGGGCAGCACCCACCGGTTACTGTGAAATGAGGAAGCCCCGTGGCGAGGGAGGCAGAAACACCACAGAGGGGAGACCGCTCCCTTTCCTGAAGCCTGACTACACTGGGGAGGAGGGGTTGCTCTGATTCCACAGCAACAGGTGGCAGCTCCCTCAGGGGACCAGAACGCTCGATGGTGCTCTGCAGAAGGGGCGGGTTCAGTTCACGGTGGAGGCCCGCATCCACCCACACAGGATGCCTCTGTGACCGCACCCACCCACAGGAGGCCTCTGTGACCGCACCCACCCACAGGAGGCCTCTGTGACCGCACCCACCCACAGGAGGGCTCTGTGACCGCACCCACCCACAGGATGCCTCTGTGACCACACCCACCCACAGGAGGCCTCTGTGACCGCACCCACCCACAGGAGGGCTCTGTGACCTCACCCACCCACAGGATGGCTCTGTGACCTCACCCACACACAGGAGGGCTCTGTGACCTCATCCACACACAGGAGGGCTCTGTGACCTCACTCCACCCACAGGAGGGCTCTGTGACCTCACCCACCCACAGGATGGCTCTGTGACCTCATCCACACACAGGAGGCCTCTGTGACCTCACCCACCCACAGGAGGGCTCTGTGACCTCACCCACCCACAGGAGGGCTCTGTGACCTCATCCACCCACAGGAGGGCTCTGTGACAGCTGCATCTCATTCCTCACGCCATCCCCCACAGACCGCAGGCATCTCCTGGATGCAGTGACTCGCAGAGTGATGACACAGCTAAACCAG